GATGCATGACCTCTGACCGTGTCTGAGGAACTGCGACCTGGAGTCCCTGCACTGATAGTAACACAGAGAAGTGATGTCTGAGTAACTGATAGTTTAAAAAAAGATGCTCAAAATGATATCTTATATAGTGGAAATACCAGGACAAAAAGAGAGTGTATACCTTAACATTTCAGGGATCACATATAGCTTTCTTCCAAACATCTTCAAATACTAAACATCTTTCCCCTCCCAGAGAATATTATAGGCAGGTAGATTTAACTTTAGCTAACACACGTTCAGCTACATCTATGTCTGTCAGGCTCTGGGGCAGCAGGAGAGCAGTGAGGTGCAAAGGTGAAGCAGAGCAGAGCTCTATCAGCCTTAGTCCCAGTGCTGCAGCCCACAGCATCTGCATTGAAATGCTGGACGGGAGCGATGCCCGAGGGAACGATGCTGGGAGTCTCCAGTAAGAACACCTGAGGAAGATGGCCAATTACTTGTGACAATTTCTGAGATGGCTCAAGAAAGAAGGAAAAATCCATCCACACTAGCCAAGACAAATAACACTAGCTTCTAATCTCTGTCTTCTGCACAGACAGTTAATACATCAGCCTGAAAATACCACCTTTGTGCTTTTGATAGAACATAAACTGAAAGCATGAGCTCAAATGCCATACTCAAGCCTAAAACCGGAGGAAGAGGGCTCCAGATGCACAGTGTTTATCTCACTGTTGTCTTCTTTAATAAATGCCTTCCAAGCCACAGAGAATTCACAATTGAATGTTAGTTATTAAGTGGGATATTCTTAAACAAAGGCGTGCAGCTAGTTTACACCAGTGTGTGTAAATTGATTTCCCAAGTGGAAGCATTTTCCAGTTTAATGTGTGCTGAAGTGAGACTAGGCTCTCCATCTGTGATTCAGCCGTGGAGGCTGTTGTCCCTGTTTTCTGAGTGGTGGGCTGCTCACTGCATAGCAAGGGCCAAGGGTGATTCAGCATTGCTTCATAATCCTAGGAGCAGACTTCCTGCAGGATCACTAGTTCAGGCAATTAATTTAAATCTCCTGGTCTGAGCAGAATGCTTTGCTATTCTATTTCAAAATGTGGTGCAGTAAGTTCAAGCTGCCATTCAGGTACTTTATCTTGCTCACAGCTCCTGTGGCCTACACCGATTGCAATGGGCTGATAGATGGCTTGCTGCACTCACCCTCTCTGCAGAGAAATGTGACTGCAGTCGCTCTTGGAAGAGGTAATCTGTATGACCCTCCGATGAATAGGCCACTTATTTGTAAGCATCCTATCTCGTCAAGTGATGCTGCTGTACATCCGCTTTAAACAAGAAGGATTTCCTTTTCTGATATGGAATGTAGTAACTTTGATGACTCTGCACAGGCAGCCAGGCCCATATAAAGAAGAGGAGGAAATTTCCCCACCCATTTTTCCCTCCCTTCCCCTACCGTACATGGAGAGGCTCTTGAGCCCTAGGAACTAAAAATAGTCCAGTGGGTATGTTTAAATTGAGATATTTTGAAGCACTTCTTGCACTGACACAAATTCCTACGGTGTGATGGCAAGTTAGGACTAGACCGTTGTCCTGGTATGTCTGTCTTCTGCTAGCAATTGGTATTTCTAGCTGTGAGAAAGCCTGAGCGCATTGTCCCTGGGAGACACTTTGGGATGGGGGTGAGAATACAGTGCACCTTAGAGAGCACAGGTGGCTGAGGAGAAGCAGCCCCGGCTGCGGACGGATCCCAGGCTTCGGACGGGAGCTGAGCAGAGGAGGGCACTGCAGGAGCTACGGGGAACCAAGGAACTGCACTGGCAATCACTCGTGACAACTGCAGTCTGATTCTCCCTGTCACACCCGCTTTCTGCTAACCTCCTGAAACTTGTTCAGATTTTTTTTATATGTATTTTCTGTGTTGTTATCTTTTTCTTCCCTTCTGCACTGTCCAAGCAGCACAGAAATAATCTCAGGAAGGGATGTGGCTTGGTCCTTTACAGTGATGACAAACTGAGGCCCTAAAGATTCCCAGCTTCCCCAGGGATTAATTACCTCTTTAAAGAGAGCAAGTTACTGTTTTAGTGGGAAGGAAACAAATTAGTACTTTTGTTTCTTCAGATTAGGCAAAACCCTGGCTATTCATAAGTATGAATGCTCTCCCATAGTTCATTTGCATTGCAGCACAGAGACCCTGTTTGCTGGCTGTTCTCTTGCCCCGCTGAGCAAAACACCAGGGTGCATAGTAGCCACTGGGTAGCAATGCTCATCTAGAAATCTGATGTTTTGAGAGACTCATCTAGAAATCCTGTAGCGGCAATTCTGTTTGCCTGAGGCACAGGGACATGTGGGAAAAGGAGAACGTCTCTGTAGCTTAAAAAATGACAGTGAAAAGTTAGAAAGAATGAATACAAAGGACAAGAGAAATACCCCCAAAACTGGAGAAAACATCAGAGCAGGCATGAGAAAGGACTATGTTCTAGAAAGAAAAGGTGAGGAACCATCTGGGTAGCGGTCCTGTCAAACAAAAAATGAGTTTTTCACGTTCCTACGGTGCAGTGGTGGGAGCTGTAACAGAGAAGGCCATAGCAAGGCAAGGAGGGTGTGCTGAGCAGGTGCACGGGGAATATATTTAGATAGGTGGTGCTCCAAAAGGCAGACATCTGATTAGGTAGTCAGAATGGTCCTTGAATGTCTACTGCGTCTATAACGAGTGCACGCCCAAGCACCCTTGCCACGGCTACATCTCTCTGGCAAGTGGTGCTGTACCTTGTTCCTCCCCTGCCGATCGCTCCTCTGCCGCAGCCTCCCCATGGGGCCGGCGCAGCTCAGCAGTCCCACATCCTCCTGCGTTTATTCCAGATATAGGCGCTCCTTAGCTCTGTTCACCACATGATGAACACCTCCCATCCCTCTGCCTGCCTAGCTTCCTTCCTTCACAGAGTTACTGGCTGCTGATCCTGACTTCTCTTTCAATGGCTGCTGTGCTCCAGCATGATCAGGACATAGAGTTTTGCCTTCGCATTTACTGCCAAGATTCCCAGCCCAAGAAAAGGCCAAGCTGGCCATGTGAGTTGCCATCCATGGCAGAGTAACTCTGACATAAGGACACCCATGGCCAAACCTAATCCAGAAGGGGCGTGAGCGGTGGAGGGGTAATAGGAGAATAAAACATTATCTCAGGCTGCAGTGCTTCTGGGAACCCTACCTCTAGCTGGCAATAGAGTTGCATCACCTTCTGCCATGAGATATTATTTTGCCATCAGAAATGCTCTGCATTAAATACATGGCTTTCCTGGGAGCCTTCTGTACTGACGCTGTCCATGGAAATAAGTCTTGGTGTAAAGCAATTGCTCATCCACTGCTAGGGCTATCAGGTGGCGGGGAGCAGCTGGACATGCCTTTCTCAACATTCACCTCATGCCTGTACGTTATTCAAAGGGAGAAAAAATAGCTTCATCCTCAGGGAGGCTGAAATTGCTACTTTCTTTGCTGTCCTAAGGAAAGTGAGTGCTAAAGACTAGAAAGAAGTAGTAGAAGGCACCAGGTCAGTTGTACTGCCTAGCAGGGCCTGACAGAAGGCACCCAGCCGAGCCTGTCCTCTCAACACAGGGCAGAGCAGTAAGACGGCGCCCTGTCCGATGGAAGCAGCGAAGATTTGAAAGTTACCTCTGTAGCACCCCTTAGGCAGAATACATGAAGGAATGTTTAGCCCAAGGTAAAAAGAGAGGCCTAACAATTGCCTTGCAATATTATCTGGTCTGGGGAGAAATGTCTAGCATTTGGAGCAGAGACTCAGAAGTTAGCATCTGTGTCCTTCATTTCTCATTCAGCCTAGTGACTTTTCCGTGTCTTAGTTTCCCATTCTTTCCCCCAGCGAAGTCACTTTTTCAAAACCTGCTTTATTTCTAGGCTCAGAGGAGTGTAAATTAGTCAATCATACTGCATACTGACATACTCATATGAAAACAAGTTTTTGATTACCTTGTTTTTAATATTATTGGGTAGATCGCAACTGTGGAGTCAGGTAGCATCCTGTTCTGTCTTCAGGTTCGGGTCTGAAATACTCCATGTGTAGCAGAAACCACAAAGATGCTCACAATTAAGGTCACTTCAGGTCCCTCACCCATGTACTACACTACATTTTTCAGCACTTATTCCACCTGGAGAGGTCTTGACTAGTAGAGGTCCCACTACAAGGAACTGTTCCAACAGCTGATTTACCAGCTCCTGCCTGTCCTTGCTGGCAGCTCTCCACTGCCGATACCTAAAAAGTCATAAGTTCTACCAGAGCTCCCCGGCTGCTGCTGGACACAGACACCCTTGCTGCAGTAAGGGCCTGCAGAGAAAACATCCTCTGAAAGTCGATGTAGACAAGCCCCTCCCTGAGCTTGACAGGGCTAGAGAAATAAATGAGTACTGACAACACTCTTTTAGGGCTATGCTGACTGTAAATGATCTCTACTCCGTCCTTAATCATGTGTAATACTACATGCCTCTGCGCCCACCGAGAGCTGAGCGGAACAGGGGGCTCCTCGGAAGCCCCTTGGAACGAGCACCCTGTGCTTGGACACACACAGGTAGCTACTGAGCAAACGGAGCTGCTGTGGGATCTCTGAAAGGCCAGGCCTGGGAAACTGAACCCCCCAACTTCTTTCCTGACATCTCCGTTTCCCTTGAGTCTTCTTCAGCCCAAAGGGTTGAAGAAGCCAATGACCTCCACCCTGTTTCCAGCACATACAGGTGCTAGAGCACAGCTGGTTGTGTGGCTGCAGCTCCTACGAGTGACTCCCAGATCCCAGACCCTTTCTCTCCTCTGTTCCTTGGGACATCGTGGGTGAAGTAGACCCCAGTGCCAAAGCTGCAATAGGAAGCCCCAGTCCCTGCAGGTCTGACTTTGACTCTGCTTCTTCCCAAGCTAGAGGAGCTAACCCACTTGACGTTTGCAGGAACAAGGCTTTTGGAAGGAGATGCAGTGTAGGCAGAGGGCATGGGTGAGTGGCAGGGTGCAGAGGACTTACTGGCCTGCTTGGCTTTCTCCGCATACGTGGTGGTTAGGTCTTCATCAACCGGGTGCTCCACTGGCCCCACCATGGGGATAAGGTGGCGTTCCGCTCGGATAGCCTTGGTGGCGTGGGGCAGGAGCATTGCCTCTGGAGAAGGCTCCCGTCCCTCCGTCAATGGCGGCCGCAACTGTCCCTCGCTCTGGAGTGTCGGTGCGGCGGTGGGGCGGGCAGGCGATCTCCCTCCTGGCCACGCCGACGGAGCTGGCCGCCTCGGGTTCCCCCGGCGCAGCAGCCTCCGGCGTGCTCTCATAGCCGCTCTGTTCGGACAGGGACACCTCGTCCTGGGGCCCGTCCGCCTTGCTGCTGGTGCTGTCAGGTGGGGAACGCGGGCTTTTCTTGCGAGCCCGGCGCTGCTTCTCTTGGGCCACATTGTCAGCATCGCTGTCTGTCTCACCGTAGTAGGCCTCGCTGTCCGGCGGGGAGGTGAGGCTCTCCAGGTGCCTCTGTGATCTCCGTGATTGCAAGGGCTGTGCGGTGGCCGGGGCTGCTGCCGGTTCAGGGCTGAGGAGCTGTGCCGGGGGGCTGAGCGGGGACGGCGGGGAGAGCACTCGCTGCCCTGGGGAAGGGGAGCGCTGGAGCCATGGGCCGGTCTGGTCCCCACCGACTATCCTGTGGGGAGAAGGAAAAGCGGTGAGTGAGATCTGGTTGGTGGGGCTGAGCTGGAAGGAAACCCTGACATGCAAGAGAGGGGTGAGGACTGAGCTGGTGTTTGAGACATTTTTCAGGACGTAGAGACACCCGAAGTGCAGACACCAAGGCAGACTCATCTCTGAATCACAGAATCACAGAATCACAGCATGGAGGGGTTGGCAGGGACCTCTGTGGGTCACCCAGCCCAACCCTCTGCCAAAGCGGGGTCACCCAGAGCAGGCTGCACAGCACCGCATCCAGGCGGGGCTTGAATATCTCCAGAGAAGGAGACTCCACAACCTCCCTGGGCAGCCTATTCCATCAGCTACATGCTCTCATCCTGATTTTCTGCTTCACGACTCTTTGAAAACCAGCTGTTAAACACTTGAAAATCAGAGTGCCCTGAGAGCATAAAAATCTACTGATCCAGCTTAATCAGGTCCCCAGGCATTTCTCCTGGGGAGGTGAACTTCTGCAGAGCAAACATTCTCCAGGACAGTAGGACATAGCCCTGCAGCCCGCTGCTTGCCCGGGAGGGCCGGGTGCTGCCCCTGACGCTGGGACTGCACTGTGGAGCTCTGCCAGCCCTGCGGATCCCGGCATCCCCCACGCCGCTTTAGTTCAGAGCAGGCTCCAAACAAAGAATTCGGTGCTGTTTGCTTGCCTGACCTCTACGTGAGAGTAAGCAACAAATACTTAGGAGAGAAAGGCCCAAGTGTTTTTGGGGTGTAGGACTCTGCTGTCCTGTAGTAGGAATCCACCCTGGTGTGTGGCCTGCTTGCTGTGGGGCTGCTTCGCAAGCTAGCTACCGGCGCCTGGGTTGTGACGACCGCCATGCAGTCACGCCAGCCAGCCCAGTCCGTGGTGGCATTCGCCTTTGGCTTAGACACAGCAACTTCTAGCCATGAGTCAGCTGCAAGGGTGACTTGAGGAGGGGCAGGGCAGACTGGGGCAGTCAGCCCACTGGCGACTGCCCGAGGGTGGGAGAAGTGGCTGTGCTGATGGGACAAGAGCCAGCGCTGTCCGCCCTCTCCTCTAGAGTGAGTCTGGATTTCAATGGCAGTTTGACTCCAGACCACACAGATGGGGCAGGGAACTTCTTCCTTCCCTTGCCAGAGTCACCAGGGCTTGTTAGAGTTGTAAAGGAGCCCTAACAGTGTTGCTTCTATAAAGCTGTGGGATTTGTGACTTAGATCCCAATTCTAAACTGTTAAAAATTTATACTGATGTCAAATGCAAATCTTTGTGGAAGCTAAGGGTGGGACAACTTCTCTGACAGTTTATTTTTTTAATAGTATTTGCTATTATGAACTCTCAAGGGGGAGCAAACTCAAAGATCCCCAGGCAAAACTGTGCAGTCCTTCCTCATCTGTAAATACTCGACCAGGTAACTGAGAGGCATTATGGCTTGTAAGCTGGTTTCTCTTGTTCTGCACTGTCAGGTCACAGTCTCCCTCTCTTTCTCTCTCTCTCTTCACACCCATCCCACCCTGACAGAAATACACATATGACCTTGCGCAGCCCAGAGTCATCCGGCTACCTATCCTTTCTCAAGAGTACTGATGGGTGTTTGCTCTGGGAACGTAAATACAAAGTGGGAACGGAGATATGATCAGAAAGCAGTATCTGATGAGTTCTCCAGTACCCCAAGATGAAGCCAACTGGTTATGTTATTTCCAAACCATCCAATGCTGGTTCCCAGAGGGCTGCAAGAAGCCTGCCTTTGCTCTTTGCTAATTCAAAGTGTGCTGATTTTGGCCCACTGGAATTTGCCCGGGCACCTGTTGGCTGGAGATAGGCTCCGATGGGGTGAGATAAGGCCTTGGCAAAGGACCAGGAGCTATTCTGGACACCTTGTGCAGGGCTCACTCATCCCACTTAATCACAGCGAGGACATAGGGGGAGCACAGCAGAAGGAACCGGCGCTTTCCCTGAAGTCAAGGGGAAGATCCCAGATGCTCACGCTTTCCTTCTCTGAGCACTGCCCACCTCTGCCCCTGCTTTACGGGTGCCAGCAACCAGCGTGGCTCTCCCTCCCCGCTGCTGACCACGCTCTGTCTTCTCAGGGCTGTAGAAAATCACATCTCCCAGTCCCCTTCACCAGGGCCTTATTTCCTAAGGGTGACTTCTGTTTTGGCAGTGGTGTGGACCTTGCACAGCTCTGCTGCCTTCATCTTTATACGATTCATGTGCAGCTTGAGCCTCATCCAGCAGGCACTGAGGCACGGGGCTAGCTTAGCACAGGTAGAACCAGGAACGTTACTGGGACCATTTCCGTACTTAAATTTGAGCCTGGTCTCCAGTATTCTGCTGGACTAGAGACTGCCAGAGATACTTCTTCCTGTAGGAAGGGACTCCGCTACGTAATTCTGTGGAAGTCACTTCACACCTTATCGGACTACAATGGCCTGCTGTAGTAAATACTTGGGTAATCTTGTCTTGGCTCGATTAACCAATGTGTAGTCAAATCCGTTCCTGTGGAACAGTTATTTACCCAGAATGAGCTGGAGTCTCTGTTCATCACTGAGATGAACTGCGCTATGGCATCTGCTTGCTTGGAGCCTAAAATGCTGTTTCTTTGCAGCGTAGCCCTCACGCTGCAGGCATTTCATCAAGGAGCAGGGGCAGGGAGCTCTGGGGTCAGCTCAGCCCCAGGGCCAGGCACTCTGAAGAGCAGCACAGAGGCTGCAAAACTTTTGGATAGCCACGTGTTAGCCATGGGGAAAACCTCCTAGTACACAAAGGCTTCCTGCTAGGTGTGGGTAGCTGCTGCGCTGGATGAAGCTGCCCTGCTGCCTGCACTGTCACAGCACCGGCGCTTGGGAGCGGGTTACCTTTTCACGCGGATGTTGAGCGTGCCGTTGGAGGAATCGATGATCTGCATGGCAGTAGCATGGGAGAGGCCAGCACATGACTTCCCATTGATAGAGATTAGCACATCATTTTCCCACAGGCCTCCACGGCATGCTTTGCTTCTCTTTCGGATCTGGAAAAGCAGAAGAGAGAGGATATGGCTGAAGGGAAGAACAGCGGCTATTTAGTTCAGTTGTTTGTCTCCTGCTGGCCCTTCTAATGCTCTGTCCCTGACAGAATAAAATAAGGCCAAAGACTGCTGTGCCGCCAGGGTGGAGGACTGGTGCTCTGGAGTGAGCGCTGGCTGTGCCTTTCGGTCTCTGTATTCCTGTTAATATCAAGAGTCTCTCTGCTGAGCATAGGCCTGACCTGATCACTGACCCAATTCGAGTCCTTCAGTGCAGATGCAAGACTCAAGAACACCTACAGGCTCTTCTCCTCTCGTTCCCTAGGTTGCTTATGGAGTCTGTGTTTCAGAGAGCGAACAGGAACCCTTTCCAGACTATCCCTGTACATGGCTGTGTGTCCTGCTGTGGTTCCTTGGTATGATCCCCGGCACTCACACAGAGCCCCACAGGTACCATCCGTGGGGAAGCTGCCATCAGAAGAGGTATTTCTGGACATCTGCTTCAGGCTATACAGTGCCCTGTTACACGAGTGTGAACTCGGAGTAGATCTTCAGCCTTAACAGAAGGTGTGCAGGATATGCATCGCTGTATCTGAGAATGGAATCTGGGTCTCTAGTTCCTAGATCTGGCCTCTGATGGCTATCTTACACCAAGTGTTTCCTCTCCATTTTGTTCCATCATCCATCCGTTAAACTTCTTACCAAAACCCCCAACCCAGCCTAGCCTTTCTGTTAGGGCAAGCAAGCCAACCAAATGCCCCCTCAGCCCCAAACCACAGACCTCTCTCTTATAGGCAAGCAATGGGATAGTCTTGTAGGACAGGCTGGCACCCATAACGCACTCATTTTTCACATAAAAGAATAGCCAGGCAAAAACTCTGGGTCAGGATGAATCAGGCCCAAGGTAGTAATACGCTGGATTTGTAAATGCTGTTAGAATATTTCTTCAGATCTTGCAGCTAAGCGAGAGACAAACTGGTGCAGAGCTGTTTAACAGAGGGTGCAGTGAACAAACTGTGGCAGATCCCTGCAGGGAGGTGATACACAGCAGGGCACCTTCTCCCGCATCTTACAGCCTTGCTGCTCGACCAGCCAGCCTCAGCTATGAAGTCGCACAAGCTACTTTGCCTGTGCTCCCGTGGCAGCCCCAGGAAAGCAAGGTGGATGTGAGAGGATTACTGCCCTGCCATCGTTCTCGCAGGGGCGGGAGGGGAGCGGGAAAGGAGAGAGCTGGAGCCCCGAGGGGGTCCCATGGCATGGCTGGCTGGTCTCAGGTCGCAGGCCCTCTGCACCCGTGGGGTGAGCGCACACCCAGGGCTCAGCGCTGCTGGCTCGTGTTGAGCAGGCGAGAGCCGCTCTCCTCCCCGGTCAGCCTGTCATCAGGACAGGAGGTGCTGGGGACGGAGATGGAGAGAGGAGGGCGATGCTCTGAGCTGTTTGTGTGTTCACTGGCACTTTATCACTCTGTAGCCTCTCTGGCTTGAGCCCAGATTTTGCCTGCATGCTTAAAATAGGGACTGGCTCATCCCAGCTGCCACATCCATCAGCCCCTGTCATTTTAGTCCTTTATCTCCCTCCTTGTTAATACAAGCCTGGAATGAGGACGTGTGGGTCTGTAATGAACTGCTGCTGAAGAACCACTTTTCTGCTGTTGCGGTACAAATGCTGCTTCCTGATGCTCCCTCAAGGTGCAGCTGTTAAGTGGGAAGAGACAGCAGACGCATTTCCCAGTGCTGCCCACCGACACAGCAGCTAATGTAGAGTTAGGAAGTTCAAGAGAGATTAGGAGGAGGGTGTCCTTCTGGTATTCCCCAGAAGGCCAACTGCTGCTCCATGGCCAAGTGCTTGGTGCTCAGCACTCTATGGGAACACACTTGCTGAGTATCTCTCCCAATTATGGAGCAAGGGGACTGGAGGTTAAAGGCTGTCAGCAGGTGCTCAGAGCATTCCTCACATTCCATCGTACTCCTCCGTGCTCACTGAAACCAACTGGATGTGGGCTGGTGACCACCCGGAGCAGAGCCTGTAAGCTTCCTGCAATCCTCTTGGTCCCGCAGCGCTGCCGGGCTTTGCAGGCACGTGTTTGGGATTCCCAGGCAGGGCGGGTCAGGCTGCGCTCAACCCCACCTGCTGCTGCTTTAGATCAGAGTGGGCTGGTGGGATGCAAGGTACCCCACGGGGCTGAGCAATGTGAGCAGGCAATGCGCTTCTCTGGTTGGTAACGATGCTGGCTCTGGCTTGGTCTGTGCTCAGATAAGGCCTGCGCTCCACAGCAGCTATGGTTACTTCGGTGCTATTGCAGGAGCCTGCAAACTAGCTCTGTAATCCAGGAGGGGACTTCTCCTTGTCCCCATTCCTCTTTGGAAAAACAGGACCAGGTCTCTTCCAGCACAGGGAGAGACCTACAGAGTCCAAAAATAGCACATGAATGTTCCTGGCTGTCAGTCTCCCACAGGTTTATAAACCTCTCCCTAGAAGTTTATCAATCTGCTTCCCAGGGGCAGAGGGAAACAAACTGTTCACAGCTTCATTTTAATGACAAACCCCTGCCCCACTGCATTTGCCAGGGAGGAAAGCAAAAGGGTTAAAGGCAGAAGAGGATTGTGCAGGGAGAGAAAGGAGAAAAGCATGTCACACAGAAAGGACAGCACTTAATCCACAGCCATGACAGGAGGCTGGAGAGCCGCTGGACGGAGCCCAGCACAAGCCTGCCGGGTTTATAGGACTGCCCGCACGGTGCTGTGGAGACCTTTAACGACGACCCACGGCCGGCCCGTCTTCGAGGCCGCAGGCCAGGGCGGCTGCTCAGCCTTGAAGGTCGGGCTACCCTCGGGCGCAGCCACTCGCTCCCCATGCCCAAAAATGCCCTCTCCCGGGCACGCAGCGAGCACACGAAGCGTCGCTAGCAGGGAGCCTCTGCGTGGGCTGCAGACGGGCTGGAAGGTGTCACCCAGCAGCTGTGCTGAAGAGATGGGAAAGTATGGGAAAAGTGGCGTTTCAAAGAGAAATCCTCCCTGCTTCCCGTAGCAGATCCCTGGAGAGCTTTCTTGTGGGAGCGGGAGGCAGTGCTGAGGGACCCCGACAAGCGGCCAGGGGCAGCCCCGGGCCTGGCCCTGGGGGGTTGCGCTGTCTGATCTCCCAGCAGATACTGCGAGGGCTGAGCCCTCCTTTTTGGTGGGGAATCCCACAAATTCTCTGAGCTAGCTGCCTGTTGCACTTTCGGCTCCGCACCTCAGTGGGCACGATCCCCTGTGACACACCTTGGCTCGCGTGTCCTGTTCAGATTTCAGCTGGGTTTAGGGAATCCCAGTTTCAGGGCCTTACTGATTTACGCTACTGGAAATACAAATCAGTGTGGGCAACTGGAACTATAATGTAATGAAACACATTTAGTCAGAAGATTGTCCATCTTGCTGCCCTCTCAGCAGGACTGCTGTGGTGACAAAAGAGCTCTTGCCGAAGAGGTCTGGGTGTCTGCAGCACCCAGGGACACACACATACATGTGCATGTTTTCCTTCATTACTTGGCCCTCTTCCTCTCATCGATCATGTTGAATCAGGAGGGAAAGGACAGAGGCAGCTGAGGGGAAAAGGAAAAGGGTGAAGGCAACAAATGAGGAGGAGAGGAAGAAGAAAAGGTTGTGGAGGGAAGGCCAGCACTAGGAGAGGCCAGGAAGCCCAGGCCTGGGATCAGGCTTTAACAGTACAGTACAAGGTTCCTTGTACAGCCCTGGGGAGACAAAAGGACGTGCTGATTATTGGACGTGTGGCGGGGGAATGCAGCCTAGCTTTTGGGAACAGAATGCAGGAGAGGAGGGGGTCAGATGCGACTTGGCAGCATCTGTCCTTCAGTAGGGTCTATATTTAGATAGTGGTATGTGGGGGGTGAACACACGCTGGGATGCTAAGAATAGAGTAGTCCTGATAGTAACTCAGTGGCTTCACATCTTGCCTGAGTACAGCCCAGAGAACCTGTTGGGAAACTTTGCAACCACCCTCCCTGCTGGCCAGCACCGCTTCTTTGTAAGAAAGGAAATATGCTGTGGGTAATCAGAATTGGCTTGCCTTTCAGGAACAAGCTGTAACAGGTTCCTGCTGTCTTCCCCCTCGCCTCCCCAAGGCACTTCCCACCTCCTCTCATCAGAAGAGCTCAGTCTATAAGGTAGGAAGACAAATTACATTATCAGTCTT